ATAACCTGCTGACTAGCAGATTATGGGGAACTCTGTCGAAGGCTTTTGTTATATCGAAATATAGTACAATTACTAGTTCTCTGTTGTCCCTACTTCGTGTAACTTCGTTGAAAAAGTCTATGTGACAGGTCACATATGATCTCATATTGAGAATTCCGTGTTGTGATGGATTGACAAGTTCATGTTCTAGTAAGTTGTCTGACACTTGGTCTTTAGCCACTTTCTCCATTATTCGGGATATTACCGGTGTTATATTGATAGGTCGATAGTTGCATACACTGGTTTTGGCCCCTGCTTTGTGCTTAGGTAATATGTATGTGGTTTTCCACACTTCAGGATAAGTTCCAGTTTCCAACGAGAGAGTAAATATTCTAAGTAACAAGACTACCATTTCCGTGCTACCATTTTTGTACATGACAGATGGTATGTCATCTGTTCCAGTACTACCTTAGACTTCAGAGACTTAATCGCTGAGTCTATATTTTGTATATTAAAGACTATTTCGCGTAATTTGTGGTTACTTTAGCAGGTCATTTGGAAATTTTGGGTTGGGTGCACTCTGGCGTCATTGCAAAACCACTCATTGAGGAGTTCACTTACAACCCGGGGATCATTGTATATTATACCCTTATGTTCCAAGCTGCTTACAGTATTGTCTTTACTGCTTTTTAGACGTTTCTGCAATATCCTACAAAGTTCCTGAGTTTTGGAGTTACCCACAAGCGCTTTATTTTCTTCAAATTGTGACATCATTTCGTGTTTATTTTCAAGCCGTTTAAGAGTTTCATGTATTTGGTTAAACGCATTAAATTCCTTAAATACATGGTATTTCCTTTCCAATTTCTTTAGTTTTAGTCGCGTTTTGCAGTCTATAAATGGAGTTGGTGTCTTTAGAGCAGATTTTAGGGGCGCGATTGTGTCTCTTGCTGAGACAACTGTTTTGTAGAAAATATCAAGTGATACTTCTAAGTTATTGTTGATGAAGTATTCTTCCCAGTCAGAACTTCTCAACAGATCTGATAGGAATTCCCAATCGGCATTCTTATAGTCCCTATATTGATAGCGCGCCGGGGAATTTTTAGGTGTGTGTTTAGTTGTTAGTCGGAGGGGTAGCGTGCAGTACAATATGTTGTGATCACTGTTATCAAGTTTAGGGAGGCGTACGCACTGCTTCCATCCGCCTACGTCTATAGCTTGTAGTAGCTCGTCATGGATTCTAGGTCCTGTACAGGTATCCCAGTTTACTCCAGGTAAGTTTAAATCGCCACACACTACTTTGTAGTCAAAGTCCAGCGCAGCTGCATGCTCTAGTATTTCTCCAATAGCTATATCAGTCATTTCAGGGCTATTAGGGGGTCTGTATATACATCCCACGAGATTTGTATTTTCGTTTGCGTGGATGCTTATCCACTTAGATTCAGGTAGTTTGTCAGTAGTTGGGTTATCGAAAGTATTGGAGTTAGTGAATTTAGAGGCATATATTAAGCAGCCGCCTCCTCTCTTGTCAACTCTATCGTTCCTATAGATGTCATAGTTGTCTATTACTAGCTTTGAGTCAGGTATATCAGTAGTAAACCAGGTTTCAGTCACCATTATTAGTGTTGGCCGTTCTGTGTATGCCAGGCAGCGAAGCGATGTTATTTTGTTAAGGAGAGATCTAGCATTCAGGAGCATAATCGTTAGTAAACCAGAGTTATTGAAGGAGAGGTTAACATGGTTACTTGTTACTATTCCTACGTTATGTTTGGAGGGGCTCTGAGGTGAGACAGAGTCAGTGTGTGTACTACTTCCTGGATGAATTGTGCAGCGAGTGGGGCTATTGTTTGCTGCATCCGAAAATAATCCTGTTGCGTGTTTTGACTTTCAGCATCCATAGGTGGGCATCTGCGTTCATTTACTGGTGATATATAGTTTGCTTGACCTAGGTACCCTGTGTTAAGATTACCTTGGTAGTTGTACCTCATGGGTCTTTCATAGTCGTATGCATATTGGCTCACATCACATGTGTGTGTTAAGTTATTCAGAGGGTCAAGTGTCGATCTATACTCATTCTTTTTCTGAGTTTTAACATAGATAGTGTGAGAGTTTGGACGAGAATATTAAATAATATTGTGCCTATGTGAGTCCCGTTTAGTGCTCCATATATCCTGGTGATCCATTCTACGTTGTATTCCCAAGTTATGTGCGTTGCTAGGCATATTACTCCTAGTTCGGGAAGGGATGTTCTCATACACATGATGGATGACTTTTTTGGGAATATGGTTTTTTACCTATGCATTGTCCTTTTTTAGACTGACATGTTGCTTATTAGACTTATTAATAATTAATAATTATAATAATAATTTTTTTATTTCTGGAACAGAAACCAGCCATTTTTACAGGCATGAACAAATGTACACTAATTAGAACTTATAGAATATATATGATTTGTTAGTCTAGAAATAGACTGAATACTGGTAATTTTGAGAGAAATATTTTAAAAGAAATGTACAAATAAGGCAATAGGTAATTTTCGAGATATGCTTTCAACTGAATAATTCATGAGATATGGCATCAAATCAAACCTGTAATTGAAAAAAAATACGGTATGTCAATTTCACGCAGGAATTATAAACGATTACGTTAATTGTGGAAAGTAAGTAGCATTTTTGTACAGGTGCTGACGTGAAATATGAGAGATGCGGAATGAACAGTAATTGTAAGTAAATGATTCATAGAGTGTTTGAAAGTCCATCAAACTTCAAATTCACCGGTAAGTACACCATAATTGTGACATTTCCAGTTGTATATGAGACCAACTTTGAACTTGTCAGCAGATTTCATGATAGAGGTGGTTCCGTTATTCACCAGGTGGGCTAGCAATATTCCGAACTAGTTGAGGATAGCGGCACTGTTTCAGTGCCTTCGTTTAAGGCAGTACCTTTGAAAAGAGAAGAAGACACAAGGAAACCGACAGAGAGGTGCAGAAGTATATAATAGGTGTTAATTATTCAAAACATATATAAAAAACATGGGGTTCATCATTTTTTTTGTTTTTTTTTCATTTAAAAAATACTATTTCCCCCTGAGATTTTCTAGTGACGGAATTCTAGTCTTTCTTGCGAAAAGAAAAGAAAGTTTAAGTGAAAAAAGATGATAATTTACCTACTTATATAGGTTGAATATGAGTTAAACACAAAAGTCAAAGTGGGTGAACTATGTAGAAGAAAAGCGAGGGCTTAATAATAACTACTGTTTTTCTGAAGTATATATTGAGGTGTCCTTCTGAAGTAGGAGACTCATACCATGTACTTGCATTCGAGGAGTTTGTTATTTAAACTTCAGCTTAAGGCAAATTTTCAACTTCTGTTGTCCTTTTTGCATGGTTGCTGTATAGTTTGCCCTTGTTTATAAGGAGAGAAATTTTATGGCTTTGGCGATTCATTCGTTTCTTTAGGATTTCTCTGAGAGCACCTACTCTGGTGGTGCTGGCCAGTGCGGTGCATTCTTCATTTCTCATATGCAAGTTATGAGCTTGCGAGATGGAGCTAAGAGTACTAAGTATTGACCCTAGTGTACTAAAGTCGTGTCGCCTGAAGTAACTTGTTGACAGTTTCTTCAGTTTCCTACGATCCTCTGGCTTTATTAATGACTTTCTGTGTGGGGAAAACTTCAGCGTTTGAAGTGGGATGACAGCATCTAAGCATGTGTTGGAGCTATAGTAAAAGATGTCTAGAGCTTTCGAGAGGCTATCAGTATAGAAGTACTCTCTCCATTCTGAGGATCTTAACATTGATTTCACTAGAGTCGTCTGACTTATTGTAGTTCCTGTAAGTTATCTGTTGTGAAGTAGGGGTATGGGCTACATTGCCACTTGACGGAAGTGGCAGTGCACACAGCACTGTTTTGTGGTCACTCCCTGAAAACTCAGAACCTACTAGGGTAGAAAGGGGGCTTATATTGTGGTAGAAGATTAAGTCTAGTACGTTTACACCTCTTGTAGGGGTTGTGACAGTCTGCTTCCAGCCAAGTATATCCAGTGTGCCTAAGAACTTATCAAATTTAGTTGGGCCTGTGGGTATTTCCCAGTTGATTTCTGGTAAATTAAAGTCTCCGCATAGGATCTTATGATCGTAGTGGAGGGTGGATAATTGTTCCAGAGAATTAATAAGTTGGGTCTCGTAATTACTAAAGGTGCCAGGTGCTCTGTAGGCGCATCCAATTAATACTATTGCGTTATTTAAGTGTAAGTTAACCCATAAAGTTTCAGGCATGTTAAGTGTACTACTTTCTAGCTGTGATACAGTAGGTGCATTCAGAAAGTACATGAGACAACCCCCTCCCTTACCACCTTCCCTGTCACACCGAAAGTGTGTGTATTTATCTAAGCATATCTCTTCATGCAGTATGTTAGAATTACACCAATATTCAGTGATGACAATTATAGGGGGTTTGTGTATTACTGTGAGTGCTCTGAGCATCGGTAGTTTATTTGGAACGGTCTCGCATTTATGAGGATCAGGTAAAGATGAGATTTGAAATAGCATTTGAAGTACTTAAGTTCGTTAATCAGAGCCGAATGTGGTTCAGCACCCAGTAGTACTGTTTGACATGACGACCCTATGTTAAGAGGAGTTTCTACATCACACTCATCTATGTCTATCGGGTTGGTGTGTGCTGTTTTCAGTGAAGAATTGAGTGTTGGAGTACTGGATGTGCTATAGGCTAAGGCATTTTTATGTTAAGTTAAGCTAGAAACGGGGGTAGGGATCTTTATTTGACCTAAACTTGTGCATGCACCAAGTGTGCTTAATGGATGCGGGTGAACTAGACTGTTCCTATATTCATGCAAAGGGGCAGCCAGCACTAACGGTTTAGGAGTGTTAGCATCCCTACCAGCTGTTTTTTAACACTGACAGGGACGCAGGGGATAAAAGATGATTGAGACCTTGTGGAGACCATGGTTTATTATTCGACTTATTGTTAGGTACTAGTTGTGTCCTTGTATGGGTTTCGTGTGTACTGCTGTGGTGAGAGCAAGCTGCTAGCCAATTGGTAGACATTGATCTACGCTGATTGGTAGAAATTAATCTAGGCTGATTCAAGGACCAATCACAGCTGACCTTGACATGGACAAATATGATTCGCAGACAAGTGGCTCGCATTTCCGAGAAACATAGAAAACGAGAAAGCAGAAGACTGCGTTTGTGTGCAAACAACCAATCAGAAGACCGCCTTCTTTCTGCGGGCAGAAGTCTATTAATGTATGTAAAATGCATATAAATACATGTTGGTTATCGTAATAAAACTGATCTGTTGCCAGCCTTGTCTTCTGTTGTTACATTTGGTGTCGCTGCCTCCGGAAAAATGAAGATCCCGTGGCCAGCTGCGTTTGAGGAGGGAGACATACGGAGCTTCCTACGTGATTTCGAAGCCATAGCTGAGCTGGTGGGTGTCAAGGAGCAGGCGGCGAAGGCAGTTGTTCTGGGGACGCTGTTGAGAGGCCGAGCGAAGGCGGCATATGACAGCGTAGACCGGTCAAACGGCACAGTGTCTTGGAAGAAATTGGTTGAAAATTTGGTGTCGGAGTTCGACAGCGCAACAGACAGGCAGCTAGCGATGCAGCAGTTCCGATCAACGAGGCTGGGACCTGATGGAGACCCGTTAGTATTGGCGGTGAAATTGACGAATTTACTTCGACGGGCGCTTCCCACGTTGGATAAAGAATCAGAAGAGCAGTTACTATCTTCCCAATTCATCGAGAGTGTACCAGACCACATTTCTCAGCAGTTAAAACTGGTGAACGCAACGCAACCGATGGATATTAGTGAACTAGCGAAGGTGACCAGACAGCTGCTGAGCACGACTGTAGCCGCTATAGAGCAGCCGAAACCAAATGAATATGAGGAGCAAATTGAAGCATTGCAGCGGGAAGTGGCGGCGTTAAAGTTGGGTAATAGAAAAAACCGATGTTTTGAATGCGGCAAGCCAGGACACTGGAGAAGAGACTGCCCAGAAAGACAGAAAAGGAAAAATTTCAGACGGTATAATGCTTGTTCTTTCTTTCGTATGAACCTAGACTTAGTGGGGGCGATTGAGAAAGGGGCTATGTATTCGAAGTTGCGAGTAAATGATCGAGAAGTAGTATGCTTAGTAGATACAGGAGCGGTCGTGTCGTTGATAGATAAGAATTTATGTAAGAGCGTTAGTCCGTGTTCGTTGACAGTACAAACAGTAGGTGGGCATGTGTTGCGTATAACGGGTAGGTCGAACTGTACGATTGTTGTTGGAGGGTGCGAGGTGACGTTTCCTTTCATTGTTGTGCCCGAACTACAGCGAACGATATTAGGAGCGGATTTTCTGCGGGAGATTGGTGCAATAATTGACACGCAAGCGAAAGTGGTGCTCACGAAATACGGGCGTATCAAAATGTATGAGACCAGCGAGATAGCAGCGGTGAACCTGTCGACGGTATACAACATGACAGATTTAATTAAGAAATACGATCATCTGTTCACTGGAGATGGCGATCCATACGGCTATTGCGACAAGGTGAATCATGAAATTCCGTTAACTAATCCAAAAGTAATGTCATTTACATCGCGAAGAATACCATGTCATCTGGAAGGCGAAGTGAAGCGGCAAGTGCAAGAGATGTTAAAAGACGATATTATTGAAGAAGCTGATAGCCTGTACAACTCTCCAGTGCTGTTAGTAAAGAAAGCGAATGGGAAGTATAGATTCTGTGTTGACTTTCGACAACTAAACAGTATGACAGAGTTAAAACCGTGTGCCATGCCAACAGTGGTGGAAACTTTAGACCGCCTACAAGGCGCGAATGTGTTTTCCGTTTTCGATCTTCGCTCAGGGTACTGGCAGATACCGATAAAACCAGGTGATAGAGATAAGACGGCATTCAGCGTAGGCCAGACACAATATCGATTTAAACGCATGCCATTTGGACTAGCAGGTGCACCGTTCACGTTCAGACGACTGATGACGCTATTACTTAAGAACTTGAAAAACGTTGAGGTGTACGGTGATGATCTCGTCATATATAGTCAAAACGAAAACGATCATGTGAACCATGTGGAAGCCGTGCTGCGACGCATCGAAGAGTTTGGACTGCGCGTCAACAAAACCAAGTCTCAGATAGCCAAAAAGAATGTAACTCTTCTGGGACATAAAGTGGGAAGTGGTGAGAATAAACCACTACCGGAGAAAATCTTGACGATAAAGACGATCCCGGCCCCAAATTCAAAGAGGAAATTGAGGCAATTCTTGGGTAGAGCGGCGTTTTATAGTCGATTCGTGAAGAACTTCAATGAGATAGCAGCCCCTCTATACAAACTACTAGGTGAGCCGAAGTTTGTTTGGTCGGAAGAATCGCAGAGGACATTTGACAGAATTAAACACCTGTTCGACCACCAACAAATGACGCTAAAACTACCTGTACCTGGAAGACAGTTTACAGTATGCACAGATACCAGTGACTACGCCATAGGTGCGGTCCTAAGACAAGGTGATGGAATCGTTGAGTATGCCAGTCGAGTTTTAACACTCACAGAGAGAAAGTATTCAACGATAGAGAAAGAATGTTTAGCAATGGTATGGGCAGTCGACAAATGGCGACCTTATTTACTCGGCCGGCGGTTCCACATCGAAACTGATCATAAGCCGCTACAATTTTTGAAGACAGCGAGAGACCCACGGGGGAAATTGTCACGGTGGATGTTGCGTCTTCAGGAGTACGATTTTACGATCTCACACGTTCCTGGAAGTGAAAATGTCTTGGCAGATTTGTTATCGAGACCAGAAGACGAGCCTGAGTTGCCCGAGGTCGCTTACGGAGTGCATGCTGTAGAGCAAGACCCCCTAAAACTTGCACGCAAGCAAAGGTTGGATGATACGCTGAATACAGTGATACAGGTGATAACCAACGGGATAGAAGTAGATCAAGCTACGGCGAGTAAGGAGCTAACCACACTACTCAGACAGAGAGATCGACTAAGAGCGAATGCCTACGGGACTCTGACCTGGCGAGAGAACGACGGAAGCTGGCTGGCTATCATACCTCAGTCCTCGCGCCACAACATGATAGAAGAATGTCACCAGCTAGCACATACAGGCGTGGCCAGAACAACTGACCTCCTAAGACAAAGCATGTACTGGCCAGGTATGAGAGAAGACGTAGCAAGATACGTACTTGGATGTCCACGGTGCCAGCTAATGAAAGGCGACCGGTGCATACGACCACCGCTTCAGTCGATTCCAGTTACGGCGATAGGTGACTTGTGGTCCGTAGATGTTATGGGTCCATTTCCGCAGACATCTAATGGTAATCAGTACCTCCTGGTGATGACGGAACACGCGACACGATGGGTAGACGCCGTAGCGATCCCAGATCAACGTGCAAAGACCGTGACAGACGCAGTAGTTAAACACATCGTTGCAGACCACGGCGTACCAAAGACGATACTGACGGACCAAGGTCCCTGTTTCGAAAGTGAAGAATTTACTTCCCGTTTGCAACAGCTGGGCATCAAGAGGATCAGAACGACCCCATATCATCCACAGACGAATGGCCTAACGGAGAGAAACAACCGTACACTGAAGGAGTGGCTGGCCTCGAAGGGCGGTAACTGGGAAACGGAGCTTCCACTGATTTTACTGACGCATCGGGCTACCACTCAGGAAACAACGAAGAAGTCACCCTTTCAACTGATGTATGGTAGAAAACCACGATTACCGATACACAACGAGACCTGGCCCCTTCACCAAAAGTGGAGTACGACGAAATTAAAAGCAGAGCGGAAAGAGGCCGTCAAGAATGTAATACGGAAGCAGCGGAGTGATGTCGCGAAGTCTCAGATGAAAGAAAAGACGCGGTGCATCACCTTTGCAGTCGGGGACCAAGTGAAGTGTACAGACAGGAGATATACAGTTGGAGGCGGGCCAGGTTCACGGAAACTCCTGCCAAAGTGGGAAGGACCATACACAATCACAAAAAGACGGGGTCAAGTATATACCATCCGAAGAGGTGACAAACAGAAACGAGTTAATGCCAGTCAGCTCCAACGATGGGTACAGTGGGACAAGCCGATCAGCAAAAATCCTCAACTAGAGAATGTAGCACCAAGAAGGTCGGAACGCCTGCGTACGAAGCTATTTGACGGGCGGACGAGTGTGGTGAGAGCAAGCTGCTAGCCAATTGGTAGACATTGATCTACGCTGATTGGTAGAAATTAATCTAGGCTGATTCAAGGACCAATCACAGCTGACCTTGACATGGACAAATATGATTCGCAGACAAGTGGCTCGCATTTCCGAGAAACATAGAAAACGAGAAAGCAGAAGACTGCGTTTGTGTGCAAACAACCAATCAGAAGACCGCCTTCTTTCTGCGGGCAGAAGTCTATTAATGTATGTAAAATGCATATAAATACATGTCGGTTATCGTAATAAAACTGATCTGTTGCCAGCCTTGTCTTCTGTTGTTACACTGCTTTGTGGGTTAGTTCCCAGCAGACTTGTACCACATATCCGATCAAAATTTATTTGCGTGCCATACTGTGAATGCCCTGAGTTGTTGGTGGTCGAGTTCTGACTATTGTCACTTGTACTCTTGAGGGTGGCATTGTTTTGGCGTTGGTTATCAGTGTAGGCCATGGTGCTATTTCGCACGTTGTGGGTGTCAATACTATTGACCGTGGAGAATGTGGGCTTACTTATACTGCCATTGTTGTTGTTAGCATGATTTGGGGTCATATTCTTCTCTTTTTTACCAATGGACTTATGGCTAGGAGAGGGCAGGGTCGACTTTCGGGGGATTTTGACATTTTTCCGGGATTATTTAGTGACATGTCTATATCTACAGTGATAGGTGGTATGGTTTTATTGGCTATTTGATTACAATCTTGTGGCTTTTCGGTTGGTGTCGCTCTCTGAGAAGATAATTCTGTGTGGTGTGAGAGTGGGGTGGTGCGGTGGATTCTACGGTGTCTCTCAAAGGGTTGGGTATAACTGCTGCTTGCAATGTCCTATTGTTTATTCCACAATTAGACTCAGTGTGATAATCATATACGCACCTTTCTATGACTGTCTTGTCTACCGCAACCTTTATTAGTTTGTAGTTTCTGGCTGTCGATAGGGTGTGTTGGGAGTGGATGAATTTTCTGGCCTCTGCCGGTGTTTCGAACTGAAAACGAATAGGACAACACTTTTCATGTTGACTCTTTTTCAGCCTGTAGCACTTAGTCTTGGAGTTGGGCATTTTCGCCTCACTAAGTAGGATGCGCTGTACCTTTTTTAGTGCCTCATTGTCCGGAACGTTGTAGACAATAGCATTTAGTTTAGCATCGAGTCGTTTTGTTACTTCTGTAGTAACAAAGTTAATGAGGTTATCCACCTTAGATACCGATTCCGTGTCAAGTTTGTTAAGGTCTACAGTTCTCATGAGAATAGTTAAAGGTGTCAGTTCACAGACCTGCGATCTGATATCGCTGATCTGATTTGATAATTTGGATATTTTGGTATTAGTTTCAGAAATTCAAGGATTTACTGACTTGTTTTTCTTTTCCCTTAACTCGGCCTTAAGTTCTCCTATGGGCAACTTTAGAAGTTCTATTTCAGAAGATAGTTCTGAAACAGAGCTTGAAGGCTGGAGCTTTTCGATAAGTACATAAGGTGTAGGGAGGGTTTCTGTATGGGCAGAGGGTACTGAATTTTTGGGAGTAGTGCTAATACTAGCTGTCAGTGCAGTTTGTCAGTAGTTGGGTTATTGAAAGTATTGCAGTTAGTGGATTTAGAGGCATATATTAAGCAGCCGCC